TGAACTGGAGATTAGCAAATGGTAACAAGTCTCACAACCAACTTTGTAGAGAGTGCACAAATTAGGGGATAAGCACTAGTAAGGCCTTTGTTTATGAAGAGTGTAAAGTATTGATCTTCCCATGGAAAACCTCACAACAAAAGGCTCCAATCTTATGATGGATTTCTTTCATTGGGAAAGATTGCAGGGATAATTGTGGAGGGCAAAGAACATCAAAGAAAGAAGTACATAAGAAGAGGCCCCTAGGGTGGAGAGTCCATACATGACTATCAGGCTTTTGAAGATCCAAGTAGACTCCTAGGAGTTGCAACAAATTCAAAATCCTTTGGTGTTTAGACTCCCTAATGCTTCTTCTAAACCCCGAGTCCCAATCAAAGGAAGAGGAAGACATGACATTTAGAAATTGGTTCATTTTTGAAGGTAGAGATTGAAAATAAAGACGGGAAATGATCTTTAAGGGGGACATCTCCACACATAGCTCCTCCCCGAACTGAATTTTATTACTGAAACCAACCTATACGGCTATACCTGATAGAGATCTGAAACATTGGAAGCACATTATGGATAACCTTTCAAGGAAAAGAGAAAGCAGACCTAAAGGATATGCTAGCATTCCACCCGTTAGCCATGAATCCATACCATAGTTTCTCAGTTTCCATAGGCCACCTCCATAACCACTTCCCTAGTAAAGACCTTTAGAAAAAAAAAACGACTTACCTAGTAAAACCTTAGTTTTCTCTTTTAAGTTTCCTATACCCAAGCCCTCCCGGTCCTTCTGCACACTACTTAAAAATTCCTTTCCAATCATCTTGCTATTTCTTCATCCAAAGACGGCCAGTCATTTCCTTTCACACTCTTTCACCGAAAGGTCTTCTATAAATGGATTTGGAGTGTTCACAAACACCTTAGCTATCTCCTTGATTAGAAATCACTTCTCCCTTCACTTACAATTTTGCCACACTTCTTTCTTCTCCTTCCATTTGCTAATACATGAACAAGTCTATTATTCTTGTTCCTTTCCTGATCCATTTATGCCTTTGACTTTTGTCTCCAACAAACCTTCTCCTATAAAGGACCTCCTCCAACTCCTTTTTTAACATCCACCTCTATCCTTCTTGCTCACTAGGGTTTTTTTGGCTCTCCTTTACACCCAATTGCTCATTGCTCAATCTGAGAAACCACATTTAATTGTTTTTCTAATCTTCCAAAATGATCCCTATTCCAATCCTTTTTAGCTTTTTACCTTCTATAACTTCTTGTGAAACCACACCCCTTTCCACTTAATGCCTCTTAAATCTTCTCTCAACCACTCATTCACTTTATATACAAAGTTTGGGTGAGTTAACTACATATTCTCAAATGTAAATGATAAAAGTTCCACTCAAGATTCTTGAAAGCCTAATTTGATAGGATAGTGGTCTGAGGTTACTCTAGTTAAATCTCTAGATATCATTACTTCTCAATGGTTTTCCCAATCTAGACTAAATCAGAATTTGTCCAATTTTGAGCCTAGAGGGTTTTCTTGGAAATTGGACCAAGTGAGCCTAGCTTGTAGTAGAGGAGGTTCCTTTGATCAGGTCAACATTTTCTTTTTTGCTTGATAAGTTTGGAGTTGGAGTGAACTGTCTTGACCTTTTGGTGATAGGTTGAATGTTCAAATGATCTAGGTTGGTTAGAAACACTGATTTGGGGAGGAGTGGAGTGGACAGGTCCAAGTTGTATTGGGTACAATAATTCCATGCTAGTTTCTTTTTCCCACCCATGGATTTGTGGTTGGACTGGACCATCTTGACATCCAGGTGACAGTTTGAATGGTCCAATGTCTGGGTCAATTATGTATTTATGTGTAAAAAATACTGCTATGGAGAGGAGTGGGCAGATCCAAGTTGTTGCAATACAACAATTCCATGATAGTTTCTTTCCCACCCATTGGGTGATTGCTCTTAAGGTGAATTTACTTTAGGGTAACATTTGTTTTTGTTGGGACAGGCCTTTTTCATTTTTGGTCCCAGTCCTTAATCTTCTTATGCCCTGATTTCTAGTACTTTTTTTACCATTACGCATAAATAGATATGTTAGGATACTAGATCTGGTTGTATGATGCAGCCAACCATCTGATTTCCTTTTCTGAATATTATTCATTTTTACGACTACAATCAGCTCAGCTGTACTTATACTAAAATGATGATACTTCCCTTAAGACATCACATGCTAATGACCTTGTAACTTGACTCCTTGTAAGTTCTCCTATCAGAAAGATTTTATATAAATTGGCCTTTGTAGTTGATGCAAGCTGAAGATGAAAATGGGGGAAAATGATGAACTGTTGATGGTGGAATCAAAAACTTGTAAATAGGAGCTAAAGTGGTAGGGTACTCAGGGACTTGCTCAACCCATTGGTTCAGTGGAATCACTTGACTCTAATGGGGGATTCATGTTGTTACCAACAAAGATCAATTCAATCCCTGAAAACTGCTTTCCTTGTCATGCATAATGGGCACATGTAGAGGGCTGTAGCTTGTGAAAGAAGACACCTCCAACATCCGGAGAGATGCACCACACAGGAAACTACTATTATTTATAACCTTGTACCTCACTTATAGATGGTAACTTTGACTATTGAGATCACATTCCCATGCATGGATTCACACCATAATATGATGCACTAAGGTGTATATCACAATTCAGTGATGTTTTCTATGACAGTAGTTTCATAACTCTAGCTTCTAGTAATGTTTGATATTAAATCATTGTTAGTTTATCCTGAAGTTTGATTGTTGGGTGTTCAATAAGGCATTGCTTGGAGAAAACAAAAATCAAACCGAAGGGTCTCTTCTCTCTTTTTAATTATTAAAGGAGATGTGATTGGATTGTATTGTTTATCAAAATGGTGAGTACCCAAATATGGACTATAAACACCTTCTACCACCCCCCTAAAAACCCAACTCCAATAATGAACATTGGTGTTCTTTTTTGCACGTCTATCTGCTACTGTGTTGGTTCTAACACTCCCTGATATTGTTAAAATAATGAGGCAAACACCAGAATTTGCTCCTCACTCTTCGCCATCATCTTGTTGCATCTTTTAGTTTGCTTCAAAAGCCAAGGAGAAGAACCAAAACTGTTATGTGATGTTATCCATGTGAAGAATTTTCAGTTCCACTTCAGTTGAGTTTAAGATCCCCTTTGGACTCCACCAAATGCAGAAACTATGATCCCATCAGACTTGAGGAAAACCCCTCCAAACCCGGCTGGCCCTGGGTTACAACTTGAGCTTCCATCGAAGTGTAGTCTTATTATCACACTGATATAGCAGTTAGCAGAAGGGAATCAACTCTCCAAGCACTCTATGTTTAAAGAGATTGATCTCCTATAAATGGACGTGTAAAAGGAATGGTGAGAGTGGACCTGTGATCCTACTCTCAATTGTATAGTGAGCACATCTGTGGGAGAAATGGGAGAAAAAACCAAATATATGAACAATCCCTGATATTTCCTGAATCAGATCTATTTGAAACTTAACACTGATCTTCTGAACTCTTAATTATCCAATGCTTTGAGCTGACCCGTCTGATGCACGTGAACAAGTAATGCCTGATAGGAAAGGGAAAACAAAGCACTCACCTGGATACCATTATCAGATGTGAGTTTGCTTATTACAGACTCAACAATACCTGGAGCCTGCTTTACTAATCAATATAACTGGCATTTAATTAAGAGAAACAACCTGGTGGATATTAAGTCCACCAAGAAACCAGATGCCCAGGACCAGAACCCGGTAACAATCCTTTTATCTTGATACCTATATCTATATGAAACTAAATTAGGGTTTATGCATTTGAATATCATTGGGAGTGTTCTATATGAAACTAAATAAGGGTTTATGCATGCGATTACCAAGGTGGCAGTGGACAAAAATTCTAGTGTGGCTGAGGATTTGCAAGTGCTAAATGGCAGTGTGGTGTGGGATCCTCAGTTCAGAAGACTTTTGAATGATTGGGAAGTAGAAGATATGTTGGTTTTGCTTCAAAGATTATATGACACTCAGGTGGACATTGGGAGCATTGATAGAAGAGTGTGGATTTCAGTTAAATCCTTCTATAAGGCTTTCTCATGGTCAGAAGAGCAGAATATCCAAGTTCAGGTCATCTGGTGCAAGAATCTTCCATCTAAGGTGGCCTTTTTTGTGTGGTTGGCCTGCCTGAATAGACTCTCAACCAGAGACAATCTGATCAGAAAAGGGATGCAGTTGACGTCCACTACCTGTGTCTTTTGTGAGGCTCAAGTGGAATCTGTGAATCACCTTCTGTTACACTGCAGTTTTGCCCAAGAAGTGTGGTTTAAAATCTGGAACCTGTTTGAAATAAAGAGCTGCTGCCTGAAGTCAGTTATGGATTTTGTAAAAGGCTGGATTTTAGGGGTTTATCCTTGAAAGGAAAGGTGGCTTGGAACATGGTGCCTGTAGCTGTTTTTTGAGTTCGGCTTCCATCAGGGCAACACCCATTCGAGCAGCCTTTACAGCCTTGCATTGGGAATATCTCCACACTCATGTGTTTTATTTCATGGGGAGATATTCCCAGTGCAAGGTTGCAAGAGGCTGTTGGGATGGTGTGAGCACGGGCTTGCCCTAATTGAAGCCAATCTCCTGTTTTTTGGTGTTTATGGCAGGAATGAAATGCAAGAGTTTTCAACAACAAACACAATTCTCCTGACACAGTGTTTCAGAGAATAGTGGACAAAATGATGTCTTGGCTTTCTCTAAACAAATTATTCAAGAATAGGATCTACAACACTTTTTTTGTACATGAAAAAATCTTTTTTTAAAGCAGGGCTGGGGGGTATAGAGCTGCTCAAGCAGTTTTTCATAAATTCCTGTGTACAGCTTCTTGTTGTACATGGTTTTCTTATTTAATAAATTCATCATTGAGCAAGATATAAATTGTACTTAGTAAGGGAATGTTATTGTTTGGATGGTGATTTTACTTTTTGGTTCTTTGCAGGTCCAAAGGATGTGAAGGACGTGTTTGCTCTTTTAAAAGATTGTTCCGCTGAAGTTAATAGTGGTAGCGTTCCTCTCAAACTTCAGGTCATATTACTCTTCGTTGAAGAACAGGCTCGTTTCATTTTTATATTGTTACATGACCTCTATTGTAGTCTTCAATCCTTAAGAAGTGGTGGTGCCTCTTCTACCTCATTAAACATTACTTGTTTCGTTGCAGATCTCATTCAGTCTTCTATTTTCTCTCATTATTGCTTTCATATCTGATGCTCTAAGCACTGTACCTGATAAGGCATCTGTCCTGTCGCATGATGCATCTTTCAGATGTGAATTTCAAGATCTTGTAAGCTTAAAGTTTACTGCTGCTGTCATTTGATTTTTCTCTTAGATTATTGCTAAATTTTAATTCATTATTGCAGGTTATGTCCACTGGAACTGATCCAAATGTTGAGGGGTTTGTTGATGGAATAAGACTTGCATGGATTGTACATTTGATGTTAACACAAGATGGAATTACTGCTAGGGAGACAATCTCAGGTGCTTCATCCCGTGATCTTGGAAACGTTTATTCATGTCTGGAAGTTGTCTGCAGAAACAATGTTTTCCAGTTTTTTCTGGATAAAATTCTCCGAACTGCAGCCTACCAGGTTTGGTTATTAATGTGGTACAATTATTTTGAATTGTAGGTATTAGAAATGGGTGACATGTTTTGTTTCTTCTTCTTCTTCTTTTCCTTTTTTGAATGTGTTTTTGTGTTGGGGGGCGGGGGGCCCTATGAACATGCTCCAATCTTGATTCTCTTCTGCTTGTTCTTTGAACAGAATGATGATGAGGATATGATCTATATGTATAATGCTTATCTGCACAAGTTGATTACATGCTTCCTTTCACATCCGCTTGCTAGAAACAAGGTTAGTTGTTCTTGATTGTTTGTTTCATTCTCAGAATTTGTGAGATGCTGTTTCCAACTGTTATCTTGATTAACAAGGCTATGTTTGGTTAAAATTCTGCTCTAAAGAATTACTATTAGAAGAATTCTCTTTCTCTTTCTCTCTCTAAAAAACTATTTGAAGAATGAGTTTCCAGCCAAAAGTGATTCGTTTTTGAAGCTAAAAAAAATCTTAGAATGAGTTTTAAGACCAAAAAAGAATTAGTTCAAACAATTTTCATACATCCTGACTAAAAAATTGTTCTTAGGATCACAAAATTCATTAGAATTAATTCTCTAGAAGTATTCCAAAGTTCCAAACACACCTTTAACTGCTTACAAGTTTCATTGTCCTCATTCAAGAATTTTATTTATCAGATACCAAAAAATCCTTATCTTAGAATTTGAGAAGATAATAACAGTTTTATGCACTGGACGCCATATAATCTAGAAAAAGATTTTGGATGGCGCTGATGATGATTTGTAAATCAGCACAAATCAAGAGATGTTATCTATACAAGGTCTGCATGTTCAAAAGTTAGAAGAAAAGAGAATCAGAAATCTAGTCAAATATATTCATTGGCTGTTTACAGGTCTGAGAACGATGCCAGTAGATAAGAGTTTTTTGTTTTTTCTTTTCTTTTTTTTTTGTCTCTCATAAGGCTCCATGACTATTTTGAGATATTATTTAACATAATTATGTTCATGCCTTTGTTAGTGTAAACGTGAAAATTTCATTTCTTACCTCCCTTTTGAGGCTAGCATTTGCATTATTTTCCTTGAAATAAAAGGGAGGGTGGCCAAATTTCTTCTCTCTTTTATTTACCAGAATATCATGAACAAACAAAATTGGTACATAAATCTTGCCCATAGAATGTCTGTATTGGCACAGAGAAGTCACAGCAATAAAAACACTTGAAACAAAACTCAGAATCCAGTATCTTTCCAAAATAGATATAGTAAAATGGAAACACTTTCCAAAAGCATAAAAAAGATGACTGAGGTCACCTTGGTTAGCTTCTCAGATCAGCAACTGCTCTAGCTGATGATCTTCTTAGGGAGGAAGACATCAGTCATTGTACTTTAATGGAAGCTCACTTGGTAACCCCGGACCCTCAGGAACAGGGTGTGTGTTCAGGGACAGATGGGGCAAAGTGATAGCATTATACTCAGGCCCAAATGGCATGGGAGATTCTGTTAGAGCTGAAGTAATGGTGGTATTATGGGGACTGAGTATAGCTAAACAACTTATCTTCCAACACGTGGAGGTCGAAGGGGATTCTAAGGTTGTAATATTCTGGATGAGCAATAAAAGTTCAGATGTTTGGACTTACAGGCAAACTTGAAGGGAGTTTGGCGGTAGCTAAGAATTGGGAGCAATCTGTCATTGGCTAAACAAGGGGTTCAAAGGAAACATTTGTTTTGGTCAAAGTTGTAATGTAATCTCGGTGGTGTTTCTAATGGATGAGGAAATGATACCCATACACTATAATGTGATGTTTATAATGTAACCTAAATTGAAGTTAATGATTTTTTGTTACTGATGAAAAAAGTCGATAGTCCTTGTATTTGGCATTATATCCCTTACATTATAGCTGTTATTTGCATCTGGGGATAATTTTTCTAGGGAAGTATAACAGTGGGACTAGCTCTCATTTGCATTGTTCAGTAGGGTCATCTATCAGATTCATGTGCTTATTTCTTGATTCCATAGCAACTTCTCTCGGTTACTGATGAGGAAAAAGAATAGTGTGGATAAAACTAGAAACGAATGTGTTTGACCTCTATCCATCTGTATTTCTCCTTTTTTTGGTCTTTCTCCTCCCCCTCCCCCTCCCTCTTTCTCTTCTTAATGCAATATTTTTTTCATTTCTATTTTTCTATTTGTCATCTTTATGTGCTTATAGAATCATTTCTGTTAGGTGAAAGAAATGAAGGAGAAGGCTATGAGTGCACTTAGTCCATACCTAATGGCTGGATCACATGACTTCAGACATGATTCTGATTTGAATTCCCAGCAGACAGTTGAAAAGAGTCCTCAGCCATTTGTTTCCCTATTGGAAATGGTTAGCGAGATCTACCAGGTTAGTTTCAATTCCATCTACAATTTTGACATTGTTCAAGAACATATGTATAAACCAGGAAGGTAGTGAGCAACTTATCAAAAAGAAAAAAAACTATAAGGTTAGTCAGTAATGAGCATTGGCTTTTTTCTTTATTTTTTCAAAAATTTATATAATAACCCATATTTATCCAGTAAACTAGTGTTGTTAGACTCAGGCTGGACTGGATGGTTGAACTATCAGACTTGGGAATGGTGGGCTTTCTGGTTTTCATTTTTTTGTTCAGAAACTGTCAACCTGCTATTAACTTGGGTGAACTGTTAAAAAGTGTTTTGTTTTTAGCAACCCAGCCGATTTTCAACGACCTGCTTGGGTCATTGCTTCTTCGTAATGTATAAAATGTCAATGAAGAGAGTTGATCCTATGACCTTTTGTGTTTATTTTTATTTCTCTAATGTTTATATTGGCCAAATTTGTTGTTGGGAACTTGATTTTGGATTTGATCCTTGTCCTACCAGAATTTTCTGAGATTCAATGATGCTCATTTGGATTCATGTAGTGAACCCCATATAGTTGGTATAAGGCTTAGGTGATGATGACATGCATATTTGGTCAATATTTGTCACTGGTCTTTGGGTCAACCCACTGGTTGGGCTGCTTGACCCGTGACCTGCTGGCCTTTCCAGTTTTGTTAATGGTTTAAGTCTAACAACGTTCAGTCCCTTTAACATAATAAAGAGGATTGGCAACCTGGCCTATTTTAGGGGTGGCAAATGGGTGGGTTGGGTTGGATGAGGGTTGAGTACCAACCCACCCATTCTGACCCACTAACCCATTTGTCACCCATGTTAGTGGATCACAACCCACTTTGACCCTGACCCACCGTAACCCACCCATTTGACCCTCTTAACTTTTTATTTTTTTAATTTTCTATGTTTTAATTGCACAAAGTATATAATTATATATTGCAACTAAGAAACACAAAAGTTCATTTTTTAAGTAAAAATAAAAAATGCATAAAAACACAAAATGTCAAAAAATATATATTTCATGTAAAACAAAAATTGCAAAGAAAAAACAAAAAATTGTCATAAATTGCAGAAAAATCAGAAAAATATAAAAAACAATTGCAGAAAAAATACAAAAACTGCAAAAATATAAAAATTGAAGAAAACAACGAAAATTATAGAAAAAAACATAAAGATTGCAAAAAAACAGACATTATAGAAATATTAATAAACAAAAATTTATAGAAAAGTGCAAAAATTATTGAAACTTGATCAAATATAGAAAAATTAAATGATCATATATTTCAATAAAAACACAACATAATCAAGAATTGAAGAAAATGTATTTTTCAAAAATAAACAAGAAAAAATTGAATAAACAGAAAAGATTGTGACGTTCTAGATCAAGCACAGGAGGGAGGAAGAACCCCCTGTTTTCTAAGAAACAAATAGAAGAAGAAAAATTGAGCGAGCGAGCCATAGGAGAGAGAGAGAGAGTGCGCCTTTGTCTACTGTCGACGTTTTGGATGTAGCACAAGGAAGAACGACCCCCGTTTTTATGAGAAACTCAAAGAAGATTGGGCCAGTGCATGGTGGATGAAGCTTGCTAGCGCATTAGTGTTCTCCATCAACAACAATCTTGGTGGCAACATCTTGTTCAACGGAGTGAGGGAGGAGCGAAAGATGCTTGCTATGCCATCACTATTTTCTACCGGCGACGATCTTGGCAGCAACGATCTCGTTCGACAGACTGAGGGAGGAGTAGAAGAGGCTTGGTATTCCATCGTCTACTTTACCGGCGGTGATATATTCGGCTGAGTGAGTGAGAGGCCAAATATTGGAGACAATAAACCCTAAGTCCTTTTTTTTTGTTTTTCTCAATTTCCCCTTAACCCTCAATCGACCCAATGGGTAACCCTCATCCCAACCCCACCCTAACCATTCTCCCCTGACCATAATAGGTCATTTGACCCATCTTGACCCACCACTAGAATGGGTTGGGGTCAAGATTGCCAGCCCTAGCCTATTTATTGGAGCTCCTAGCTGACTCTTGGTTGCATCATGTGTTCCATGTGGTCTTACTCAAGAAGTCAGTGGACCCATATGTCACTAGCCATCCCTTCCTAACTTCATTGATGATGGAGAACTAGTCACAGAGCCCAAGTGAAACATAGATTTCTGTTGGGTAGGAGTGGGGAAGAATGTTTTCCCAGAAGCCTTGGTCGAGTAGATGGGCCTTCCAATGGGAGCCCAAAAGGAGAGAAATAGAGGGGAAATTATTAAGGTGATTCCGTGATTACTACCAGGGCGGTTCATTGGATAAAATTAATGGACCTATTTGATGATATTCCTACAGTTGTTCTGCTGAATAGTTGGAAGTGGCAGATCCAGCTCCAAGTAGAAATGTCCTTCCTGCATGGAGTCCACCATGTTCTAATTTCATTAAGTTGAACTTTGATGACAGTAGTGAGGGCAACCCAGGGCCTTTAGGGATTGGTGGAGTTCTTAGGACAGAGGAAGGTGTAGTCATTGCTATGTATTCGGGTCGATTGATTTTGGGGACTCACTTCGGGCTGAGGTTATGGCTGTGTTGGAGGGTGCAAAAAGAGCTAAGGAATTAAGTATTAACAGGTTGGTCATTGAAGGAGACTCAAAAGTGGTACTAGCCTAATAGGTTGGCTACGGAAAGAGGATGATGGTATGTGGCCTTGTATTAATGATCGGAGACTCTTAAAGTGGCTGACACAGGGTATGGAAGTGAGGCTGCAGTGGGTTAAGAGGAGTGCTATGCTAATTCATTTACCGATTTCCTAGTCAAACAAGGAGTTGGAAGTGATCAGTTCTTTTGGGCTGTGCTGTAATTTTCCTTGTTTTTTTAGGGTAGTTAAGAGAGTTTATCTCCCCACGCCCATGTACTTTTTCATTAATCTAATGAAATGGTTCTGTTATTCATCAGAAAGAAAAATTTATAACTACCTTGTCTCAAAGCTTGTTAGAACCTCCTGTGAAGTTCCATAACCATTTTTCTTGCAAAGCCTTGTTCCACTCTATTAGTTTACCTATTACCTAGTTCCCCCTTATCCTTCCTTTCGTACACTAATGCCTATCTCACTAAGGTGTCTGAGTATTCTACCCTTTAGATCTTTAAAAAGGGCATCTATTTATGTTGATAATTCGTTGTTAATTTATCAAACCCATCAATAAACTAGGTGATGTGAATCCCATAAAATGAGCTTGATCAATGTGTCTATGTGTGCCTAAGGCGAACTTTCAGAAACACTGAGGACATGCAATTAGTATTTTTTTTTGAGAAAGAAGTAGCCAATCCATTGCCTATTTTTGCTCATGCATCTTGAAGGGGAGTGCATCAAGTTTAAGTCATTAGTTGAGTTGAGGAGGATCCATATGTCAGAATTGGATATTCTTAGATCGTTTTTTATTATATATAAGCCCATATATGTCTAAATATGGTTATCAATCACCTAAAACTCTGGTCTAATGCTTGTAGGAGCAACACTAGATTGTTGGCTTCCTAATCATGTAAATTTGTTTCAGTTTGGATTATTCTACGCTACTTGCTAGCAATCATACCATAGTTTTTTTGATAAATAATGAAATATCTTACTGATTATGAACAGTAAAATATATGCATGTGCAATTATTCATACACCCATAGGAGTATACATCATACCCCACCTCTTATATATTCATATCACAACTGGGCCTAAAACAATTGATTCATTTATACCTACCCCTTGCTTAGCTATTGCATCAACCATCCTATTTGCTTTCTGTTTTACCCTTTGGACTTCGATTTGCATTTCTATTGCAACACTAGATTTGCATTCTATTGCAATAAGACTCTCTCCCTGTTCAATGGCTATCCGGTTATCACCTTTGAGTCATCTTTCATAATTAGTTTATTACTTTATTTATGTGCATTTCTTTTGTTCGATGCATTCCATGAATCGCAACGATCAATTCTGCTCTTAAAGAGTCCCCCTTCTCGAATGGGTGCAGAGAAAATCCACCGTATGACACTTAGTCTCTAAACACTCCTAGTCTCCTACATCTAACAGCCCTAGATTGCTGATCTTCCCAAAGGCTAACCGGATCACCCCTACCAACTGAAAGTAAAATTATTTTCTTCAAGTCTTCCTAATAGTTCAGTATATCCCTCCAAACACTTGGGCCATAAGTGGTCAACACGAGTAAAGGGTCCTAGCAAAAGTAGCTATTCAGTACTTGTTTGCAATAACCTTCTCCGTAGTGTATTTGTTTCCTCACCTAGACTCCAATGCTATTTGGACTGAAGGACTTTTCTTATAATTCTAATTGGTCTTAGTTCAGTTTCACATTCTTAACAGTACATCAACTAAGTTGTACTTCTGTTCACGATGGGGACCATCCTGGAGGAAATCTGTTTCCTTCTCTGGCAGTTTAGGTATTGAAGCAGGAGTGGTGAACAGTGAGAGATAACAGTCAGGCACAGGCAAAGTTTGATAAAACAATCTTTAGTTGACTTCGATCTGCAACTAGCTTGTCAAGGAAAGCCAGAGTATCTAGTAGGAAAATATGCTCGTTTGGCAGCCCAAAGATCCTGCAAGATCAGGCGGGGTTGGTACGCCCCTACCGTATACACCTCACTCTTAGAGGGGAAGAAGGCCATTGGAAACATTAAAAATTTTCTAGTAATGGTTTTAAAACAAAAGCCCATTGAAAACATTAATGGTGAAGAAAGGATAATTGCAGCACTAGATCGCCATCGAAATGGTTCTGAATCACATGAATCAGATAAATTGTAGCATCATTATGCATGATGGTCCAAGCTATCTGGGATTTTTGGAATAGACTGGACACTGATCTAGTATTCTGAGATGAATCATATGAATTGGCACAAACTGGTTTTCTCAGGCTTTAATCCATTTTCTTTTGCATACCAGTGTGAGATGAATTGGATAAATTGTCATTGTCATGAATCAATTCCTGAGATTCAAACAGTAATTGTAAGTGGTTTTTAGGAAAGGATATAGCAGTAAGACTGAAATCAGAGTTTATGGTTTAGATCATGAATGGTATGTAAATTACAAGATTTTGACAACTATGACTGTTATGTTTTTGAAGGAACCATCTTGTCACATCCTGTCCATATCTGGGCCTGCAACCCTGATGATTTCTAGTTTGATTGGATTGCTTTTGGCAACCTATAATTTGTTTAATGAAATACTCCTACATGCTTTGTGTATGATGTGATGTCTGTGGATTTATTTATAAATTAGATATTTGATTGGATAAGTTTTTTCAGGGGTAAAAAGCATTCATTGATTGTGCTGTGAGTAAATTTCTTGCTGCTTGCATATTTTTTAAGCTTTTTCGTTGTGTAAGCTTAATTTCTGGTGTTCCAATATTCTGTTTATTATGTTGCTTCACTATTTGTATTTACATAATCTTTTTTAGATGAAAAATAATTAGCATCTAATATGCATGAGATTTTATCAGAAGGAACCGGATCTTTTGTCAGGCAATGATGTCTTGTGGACTTTTGCAAATTTTGCTGGAGAAGATCATACTAATTTTCAAACACTTGTTTCTTTCTTGAAAATGCTCAGTACCTTGGTATGTAGACACTCTTCTTAATTCCCTATACCATTCTTTGTATGGTATAAGATTCTTTAATCTGGTGTACTTTTTCAGGCTTCCACTCAGGAGGGTGCTTCAAAGGTTTTTGAATTACTTCAGGGTAAAACTTTCCGCTCTGTTGGGTGGAATACTCTATTTGATTGTTTATCCATTTACGAACAGAAGTTCAAACAATCCCTTCAAAGTGCTGGAGCTATGTTACCTGAGTTTCAAGAGGGCGATGCAAAAGCACTTATAGCATACTTGAATGTTCTTCAGAAGGTTTTGACTTTCTTCTTCTCTTTATTTTGTTGATTCATGATTTTATGTTATTTTATTTGTGTAAATATTGAATAGTTCCATTGCCATAATTTTTTTTTCTTGGCATGTTTAAATTTGTACATTATAGCATGCATGTCTCTGTGTTACTGCACTTGCATGCAGAGTATATTTGCGGTGGTGTATGTTACTGTAGTTCTATATTCAGAATGGTTTTGGGCTTGCTTTTTTGAAACTGTGGGTTTAGCATTTATGTTGTGTATTTACATGCAACATGAGCATGAGTATTTGATATGGTTAAATCAAGATGGTTAATGAAACAGTAGAAGGAACTGGTTACTGAATGCTACAGCTTGCTGACAAGCCTTGAAAGAGTAAACATACCATTTTATGAATCTGAGAATGTACTTATAATATTTGTTGTTAATTTTAGTATGCTGAGCCTGAGCTAATCATTTTGGACTAGTTCTGGGTATTGGATTTATTATATAATAATCTTGTGTTTAAAATGATGTTATCCCCACGTTGGTCATTGGGAATGAAAATTGGAGTTGTTTATGTTTAACCTAGATGGTATTATTAGAGTAAGTGGTTACTTTGATCTGAAGAAGGGTCAATAGCATTGTTGATTGGATGCCTATGCAGTTATGCCTATATTTTGTAACAAAATGAACCTTGATGACTACAGCAGGGGAAATCCTTGAGACTGAGGTATTTGTGGGTCTTTTAGAATCCATAGTGGAGAGGTGCTGGTAGTGTATTCAGGTCCTATAATCCTATTAGAGTAGGGAATTGTGTACTATTTTCTCTTTATTCCACTTATTGTACTCCCTTTTTTTATTTATGATGTTAATATTCTGATCAGTTAGTAGTCAAAAGATGTAATTTTCTCAAAAAAATTTCCTCATTAATTTACATGATGGTATTTGTTATCCTTTGAACCTTATATCCTTAATGTGGTGACTGGAGTTCTCTTGATGGGTCTAATGCCCTTCCTTTGGGCAATTTAGTTGTGTTGGTTGAGCTGGCTTCTACAAGCAGGGACCCAAAACCACTCTTTGCTGTCAGCAACCTCTTTTGCCTCATGTTGCTGTTGGTCCATCTAAATGCTTTTCTTTTCTTTGGTTTTTTAATCAGCAACAGTGAAAAAGATTCGTTTATTAAAAACTTAATCAGTTACAACAAGCTGATTGTGATTACATAGAATTATAGCCTCTGCTATGTCACTCCAGCACACTCTTTTTATGCTTGAGCCCAAAACAGTTGCGGTCTAACGACCCCCCATGTAGCCAAAGCATCAGCCAGACTTTTGTAGATGTTTGTTCCCACCTAGTTTGTAGCTGTATATCTTTAGAATACCATTTGAACAGTCTAAATTCATTTATGAAGTTCTAATCCACTCTCTTTTCCTTTAGTAGCCAGCATACTACCACTTTCAAATCACCTTCAATTATCAATCTTTCAACTCCCATTTCCTTGTCTTTCTGCACCCCAAATACCGCTGACAAAATTTCTGCCCTTGTTGAATCTCCTTTTCTTATTAGACCTGAATACATCACAATAATAGTTCCTTTCTCAAAAGGCGAGCCTAGTAGGGAGATTTGTTGGTTGGGAATTAGAAGCAAAGAAGGTGGAAATGTGGGTGACTCTTGAATGGGGAAAAGAGAGAGTTCTAGGAGTTAGAAGGTTAATGATGGATTATTTTTTATTCACGTTCCGTAGCATAGAAGTGGTAGAGAGGATTCTTGACTTTGAGTCGGTGAAAGAAAGGGAGTTTGATCTTCGGCTTGGGCGGTGGCATGTGTAGTAACAGAACAAAGAAGACGAAGGGCGGTGTGGATTGATGTACTAGGAATCTCGGTGCATGCTTGGAGTATCCTTACCTTCTAGGCGACTGATGGTCATTGTGGGAGGTTCTTGAAGTTCGATAATAAGAACCAATCTTGGGATAGACTGGATATGGCGAGATTGTTGGTGGAGGTGGAAGATGTCTTAACCATATTGAGCAAAATAGACCTGTTATTTGCTAGAGAAAGGTATGAACTGAGATTAGTGGTGGAAGGGGAAGATGGTACATTCCAAGCCAAGGCACAGGCATGTGGGAACAAAGAGACTAGTAGGGAATCAAAGATGGTTGCAAATGGGCGAAGGAAACAAGGGTTGGGAATAGAGGAAGAGAAGATGAAGCGTCAGTCGTAGAAGGAAGAAAGGATGGAGGGGGAGACCTTGAAGGGTAAAAGTGGGATTCCAAAGTATATTGGGGAGGAGAGGGTGAAGGATAGAGGACACATGGAAGGAGAGGAAGTGGGGAAGAGGACAAATGAAGAATCGAATAGAGGGGAGGAGGGAGGCGAAGTGGTTTGGGGCTTAAAGGGTTATGGACGATCGATTAAATTAAGTGGGGTCCACATTATGGAAGGCTGGTCAACACGTGTCAACACCAAAGAAAGCCAAATGTATTAGGGGTCTTAAGGAGGGCATAATAGGGTAAAGGAAATTAGGTGCGGGCAAGATGAAGAGATCGATGGAAATGCAAGGGTCAAATGAAGGGGTGAGGAGGGGGAGAGGCAAGAAATGGGCGATAGTAAGGTATCGCTAATGCTAAGAAAAAGAGTGGGGACCATTGTTTTAAGAGGCTGGGAAACGATTTCAAAAGGGGAAAATGTGGCAATAGGTTGCGAGTGATTATGGGTATTTTTGGAAAGATGGGATTTAATTCGAAGGGGTGTGGGGTTGCATCTTATCAAAAGAGGTAGAAGAGAAGAGTTTGAACCCAAAGATGATTGAGTATGGGATTTATCAAAAAAATGATTGAGTATGGGTGGTTACGAGGTATGAGAAAGGGAGGAAAGTAGAAATTTCAGAAGGAAGGAAGATGAAGGAATTCCCATCTTGTTTAAATAAAAAAGGATGACTTGCATCGACTTGAAGGCATGAAGGTTGCAGAAGAGCTGACTTCAATGGGAGATTGAAGCAAAGAAATCAATCAGGCGACTTCTTCAAGCCAAGGAGCTCTAGTAGCTAGAGTCCAACTGATTAACTCTAGAGGTGACAAAGGAAAGGGATTATAGGTGGAAGTCAAATGAGATGGTGGAGATTTTGAAAATGGGGTACTAGAAATAAACGAATTATTGATTGGAGAAATAAACGAATTTTGAAAATGGGGCAAGTTGGTTTAGGAGTTGGGATTGTTAGGAACAGAGGGAGAGTGGAGAGGTTATGGGGGAGGGAGAAGAGGAGAGAGTGGGGTCGAAATTGAATAGGACTGTCCATACTACAATCCTTTTTTCCTTTGGTGAAGATCCTGCAACTCCTCCCTCCCCCCAAACTCCTAATAATATCACTTACTGTGAAGGTTGAGAAAAGTTCCATTGTTCTCACCCAGTGGTGATGGTTTCAGTTAATGTCTTCTTACTTCTCACCTTCTAAAAAATTCTTTTTGGCCCCTTCTTTGTGGACATCTAAGCAGATTTGCATAAAAAAACCTTTCCAAGCAAATGGGAGGAGTCCGCCTGCATCCAGAAAGAGCAAAAAACCATATTTCAAAAAGAGTGGTTACACTTTAGAGTGCACATCTAAAAGGTTGGGCCGTAGCATTATTTTATGTTGTATCCTTCAGGTTAGAGATTAATTTGGCTTGGACAAGCATTACAATTAGGGGTTTGGATGACTCTGTTTTGGAGCTTATGCAATATGAGCATCTAAAGAAAAAAGGTTGGTGTGTTGGAAATGCAGATACTTATCTCAATTACTTATCTCTTCTGAAGTTCCCTACATTAGTTGCCAAATAAAGACCCTAATAAAAAAGGACAAAGAAGAAAAGGATAGATATGGATTTTGGGTAAGTATTTCAAAAGTGCAAGGGGCTTCTTTGCCTGAAGTGCAAGGCAAGGTATACGCCTTTTTGAAACAAGGCACAAAATTAAAAGAAAATAAAAAACTTATAACTAATTAATTGATATCATAAAAGTGGTAACCAATTAGGTGGTATTCATTATTATTCACTGTGGTTTTGATTGGTCAAAGCTCTTCCAATCAATGTTTTAAAACACGGAGGCGTGACTCGAGGCGTTCCACTACCTAGAGGTGTGAGGCGTAGATCAGAACGCAAGAGGCGTAAGCCTCCTGAGCACAAGGAGGCTAGAGGAGGGGGGTTAGGAGGAGGATGAAGAGGAAGGGGGGATCTCGTTTTTTCTTTATTTTTAATAAAAATCTTTTATATTAAGAGGAATAAATATGCATAACATTAATAAAATTCTTTTTCATGCTCCTCAATACAAGTTATTTTTCATCAAATGACATTTGATTCCTACTTCTAAGTCACAAAATATCTCTTTATATGTGGGCAAAAAATTTAGGACCATCACATGGACTTGTTTGGGTGTCCAAGGGCATAGCCCCCCTCAGCCCAGCCATTATTCTTGAAGAAATGCACAATTGGGAGACACAAGGAGCACCTGGTGCACACCATTTCAAAGGGGCTATGCTTGGTCTTAGGCGATGTGCATACCACTTGAGAAACTCTGGTAAAATTGAAAAATTTTCATTAGTTCCCATTACCCCAACTGCTTCCTAGTGATTGTTCAACACTTAAACCATGTGAAGTGATGTAGAAGTCCTAGTGTGTTGTCCAATAGGTTGTATTGGGCCTTAGGTAATCAACGATGGAATTTCACTATCTTCTTTAGGCTTATGACAGGTGGATCCGATGTTTTAAAAGCATGGTTTCAAATGTCGCGAAATGTCGCTAATGTCGCCTGACATATGCTGATGTTGAGGCTCACCGACATGAAAATGGATGGTAATATAAAAATTACATTATTTTGGTCGACATTTCCTATATTTTGGAAATGTCGACCAAATCAGTTTAAATAACCAAAAAAAAAAGATAGTTTTTCCTATTATGTCGACAGGATGCCGATAATGTCGACACGATGTCGACTATTGTACATTAATATTATAATATATTAATATATTATATTATTAGAATACAGTATATTAATATAAATTATTCCATTAATAATTTCTATTTAATATTTCAAATAAAATATTTATAAAAAAGAATTAACAAAATATAAAAACAAAAGAATAGATTAATTACTTTATAATATAAAACATAAAATATTTTTCAAGTAATAAAATATTAACTAGTCAGTATTTTTTTTAAAATATTTATTAAAATCAGAAAATGTTTATTAAATTTTATAATAAAAAATATTCTACATTTAATATAAAAAATCAGAATAAATTTATTAAATTTTATACTAAATCATAATTTATTACAAGTTTAGTATTAAAAATCGTAATAAATTCATTAAGTTTTATAAGAAATCAAAATTTATCATAATCTTAATACTACAAAAAGGAGTATCAGTTTATTAAATTTATAGTAAAACATAATGTATTATAACTTTAATATTTAAAAAAAATCAGAATAAATGCATTTCTATTTACTAGTGTGAAATAAATATATTAGAATTTATAATAAATCAGAATTAAAAATAAGAAAGGAAAATATCAGATAACCTTGTAAAACATCAAAATGCATAATAAATCAGTAAATCGTCATTTACTAATTTGTTATTGATCTTAGTTTCTTAGCTTTATATAATGGTTGGGAATAAGATAATAGTCTAGAAATATGTATTAATGCTTCTTTTATCATTTTACAAAATATCATTGCATATTTCCACATATTTCATAAAATTTCCGCAATGTCTCTAATTTTTACAATAGAAGTGCATGGGCACAAGGTGAGGCACAGGCTTGAATGAAGTGAGGTGCTGCTTCGTAAAAATCAAAAGAACTTAACATACAACAATATTCAAATCTATATTCTGAAAGAAATAGAATATTTTGAAAACCTGTTCAGCTTAATTGGTTAGAGCATCATGCTATTAACGCAAATGTTCTAGGCTTCTAGCCTTGTATGTTCAAGTCCTACAAAGGCTGAATGGTTTAAAGTCTAAAACATGATAATTGCAACCTATAACTCATTTGTATGTACCATGCAATCGTATACAAGGCTACGGAAATGTCACTATATCTTCCAACTTATTTCTGTACCAACAATCATGTGTTGGGATACACAAGCTACCATCTTCTATTTTCGTTGTAATCATTGCTACTACTAATAGATTTCTTGCATGTATATGGCAGTGTGAGCATGCATATGAAATAATGATTAGGTACTTTGTTATGGGCTAATTGGTTATTGTAATTTTGTTGCAGGTTGTAGAAAATGGAAATCCTGTTGAAAGGAAGAATTGGTTTCCAGATATTGAACCCTTGTTCAAACTTCTTAGTTATGAAAATGTCCCTCCTTATTTGAAGGTTAACAGTTTTCTGCTGATTATGAATCTTTAGTTATGCTTTGTTCCCACAATAATCTTTCTTTTTTGACAAGTGAAATCTGTGTATTATACAAGCAGGAAGTTATAAATTGTTTCTGTATGTTGGTTATTTGTGTAGGGTGCCTTGCGGAATGCAATAGCTGCTTTCATTCAAGTCTCTCCTGTATTGAAGGATACTATATGGAGCTACCTTGAGCAGTATGATCTACCAGTAGTTGTTGGTCCTCCTGTTGGAAATGGTGCACAGCAAATGTCTACACAGGTATGGATTTAGGGGCAATGCTGTAAGTGATAAAACAATGCCGTGCATATTAGTTATTCTCTGGTTGGTGCTATAATCTCAAAATGGGTAACAAGTGGTTCTTTTGCTGGTCCTTGTCAATATTATATGTATGACTATACTCATTCATTTGATCATTAGTGTTGCATGGACTTTGACACATGAGTTGGAATCTGACATGTGCAATGAAGTCTGACTTGGTGAACCCAAAAAAGTGGGATTTATAGATGTATTTCTCATAAATAATGTTTCATTATATTTGTTAAACATCATATTTTTAATATTAATCTTTAAATTCATTGAACCATCTCATTATAATGTTTCCTATCTGAGACAAGAACGATCTTAGATCTGAGATCCAGGTACAACAATTGCAGAGGTTGGAGACTAGAGAGAAATCAGATCTCAGATCCAGTGTTTTAAAAGCACAAGGTGCAAGAAAAGCACAAGGGCCAATTTGCGCCTGAGGCGCGCCCCTTTTTGAAGCAAGGCGCAAAAATACAAAAAATGCTGAAAACATAAAAAAAAGCTAGAAAATTCAAAAAATGCCAAAAATTAAAAAAAATAAAAAATTAAACATTTTAGTAATAAAAAATAGAAACAAATTTTAAAATAAATGTTTTAAAAAACCTATTATCTAAAATTGAAATACATAAACATAACATGTAAAGTGTATTCAAATGAAAATTAAAAAAAAAGAAAACATATTGCATTCTATGAGTCACCTTTGTACCATGCCCCTTGAGGCAAGCCTGAACAAGTCAATGCTAGGGTTTTAAATTCTGAGTTCTCACACAAAAAATAATGATTTTATAACTTTAATTGCCTTTTAAGAAGACATTTTGTTGGAAGGGCATGGTCGGGAGTTCGGGGGTGTAGCCCCTGACCCATCCGTTAGGGTCAAAAAAGTAAAAAGCCCATAATTTTAAAAAGGCGCATGCTTGGGCTGAGGCGCAAGGCGCATCAGGCACACACCTTGTGTGCCTTTTGAAAGGGGTGCGCCTAGGACCTGGGTGAGGCACATACCCTAAAATGCGCCTTGCCTGTGTGCCTAGGCATGCCTCAAGTGCGCCTTCTAAATCAGTGCTCAGATCTTAGATCTGAGATCTGCGTTTCTTTCCTTTCTCTCATTCCTTTCTTTTTTTTCTTTCTTTCTCAGCCGACAATCTCAGTTTCTTTCTCATAAAAACTAAAAGTCTAAAAGACTAATACCAACATTTGCCCTCATAATGTAAACTGTCTGACCCGGACATTTCTTTCTCATAAACCATCCGTTTGACCCGGACGGTCGAACCACTGATCCGGAAACCGGTGAGCACAGCGGTTCCATTTCTGGGTCGGTTTTTAAAACCTTGGGTTGGACCAATGTTATGTAGAAGCGTTTAAAGTGAGGATTCATAAATTTGGAGAGTCAACACAATGGGCATTTTGGTAAATCTGCGTAACTTGTACTGTAGATGAGTTTGACATGTATTTTAGAGAGTTGAACATGAATCTATTCATGAATCTTCTCCAAAGGTGGGGTATCCATCCAGTGCTGCTGTCAATGGGGTTTAAGTTTCTTGTAGTTCAACATTGATAGGCATCAGAAAAAAAAATCTTGTCTGTTAAAATTGTGTATAATGTTAGCTAGTGGCAGTATTTTCAGATGCTGGGCCATGGAGCAAGGCATTTTGCTTTTGTGAAGCATGGGACATAAGCATCAGGGCATGGAGTGCAAGACTTATGAGCATCTAATTTTTAATTAGTGAATATGGGGTCATTCAAATGAAGTCAGAGCCTGTTTGGTTCATGGGAATAGGGGTCTGGAATTGGAATCGGAATGGGTTATTCTGATTCCAGCCGTTTGGTAGAGTGGAATCAGAATCCCATTCCCATTCCTGCTGGAACGGTATTCCCCCTTCCCCTCCTTTGGGAACGAAATCCAATTCCTGATTATTCCAATTTCTGTTTGATTTCTATCTGAACCAGACATACTATGGGGATAGACTATTCTGATTTCAATTCCAAAGGATTTTGATTCTGATTCTGACCGTGAAGCAAACGGACCCTCATATTCAGTTGGTCATTCTGTGTAATGAACTAGTTAATTGTATGAAAAAAGATCAGCATGGTCACCAATTTACCATTTTCAGTTTTAATGCTCTAGTTTTTTATTGAACAATTTTATTATACTAGTTCAGTTATACTTCACATATGTTAATATAAAACATAAGGTATTTTCTGTAAAACAGAACAATTAGATTTAATGATGCAATATTTCAAATTGTGAAGTAAACTAACATCGTTCATTGTTCATGGAAAAATCAATTATTCAAGTCAACATTGTTCTTTCTCCTATAATTATAAAATCAAATTCAGCAAAGATGAAGCAAATCTGATGTTTGAAATTAAGAATAATGATGTATTAACATAGCATGATCCATAAAAGGACTATGTATGAACATTGCCATAATAGAAGAAATTATAATGATTTATTTCTTCATGTCATCCATGGCATGCAACACCCTAACACAAACGGATTAAGCTGAGTTTTGATGTCTGCTCTCTTTTGGACCCACACCAATATGGCTTGGGGGTGTATTTAGAGACCTTGGTGGCAAATACTATTAAGCAACTCAGGTCTAGCAGAAGTTGGGATTCTCTAAGAGCTGAACTTTGGTGTGCATAGTAGTTGAAGGACATTGTCAAATTGTGATTAGCTGGTTTCTATGAAAGGCTGAAGGGATTTGATGTGTAGGAAATCAAATCAGAGAAGCTAAGGCTTTATCTATGGATTCTGAACAGCTCATTCAGTTGGATCCCTAGGCCTGCTGATAGCTTAGCAGACAGCTTAGCCAGATTGAGAGTTTCAACACTATCTGGAACCTCTTTGACTGGTTTCATCCATAGATAATTCCTGTTGATGTGTAGTTGCGTGGAGCTGATCAACCACAGTATCACTTTGCAATTAATAGTGTTGGGTTAGAGGATGTAGTTGAAGGGACTGGAGTGCATAGTAGTTGAAGGAGATTGGCAGTACCATCTAAATTTATCCATAGATAATTGCTCTTTGACTGGGTTTCTCTAATACCGCCCTCCTCTAACCCAGTGTCAGTATTTGAGCCTTAAAACTTAGGCTGCTAGAGAAGTAAGAAGCCTACAATTTCTGATCTTCTAGACTTGTAAAATACTTTAACAAGATCAACAATGCCTTAAAACTGGCATTTCTGACCTTGCCGGCGTGTTTCCTATATTTGAATGATCAACATTTCCATCAACACTGACATTTTAAACCTTTTCATGTCTTTTCCCTCTTTTGTTAACCCCCAACCTTGGTCTGGTAAAAGCAATTTTCTTGGGCCCTACCCTAGGATGGATGTTTGGACCCCTGTTGATGCTATTTCATAGTTCATGGCTGGATCTCTGGCTTCCATGGTGAATAGATTGTTCAAATGGGCTGAATGTTTGGCTGACTTGTTTGCTGATTATCTTATATATTGTTGATGGTGGAATACTGTGGTCTGGCAGGTTTATGATATGCGTTTTGAGTTAAATGAAGTAGAAGCAAGGAGTGAGAGATACCCTTCAACTATATCTTTCCTAAACTTGTTGAATTCCCTGATTGCGGAAGAAAGGGATATGAATGATAGAGGACGCAGGTACTGATATCTGTATTGCCTTTGCTACCCTTGCTTTCAGTCTAACATTGAGTGTCACACTTTTCCAGGTTTGTGGGGATCTTCAGGTTTGTGTATGATCATGTCTTTGGGCCTTTTCCTCAAAGAGCCTATGCAGATCCAAGTGAGAAATGGCAGTTGGTTGTTGCTTGTCTTCAACACTTTCAAATGTGAGTATATAATTGAGTGATGTAAAGTAAATTGTATGTCTACATAATTTCTAGCTTTTTTAGGTATTACTTGGATGCTGCAAAAAATATTTCTCATGAAAAAAAACAAAGAAGAGTTATGCTACCAATATTTCATTATACATTTTCTGTTTTGAACTACCTTATACCTAAAACTTCTTATGCACCTTACGAAGAAAACATTGAGTTATGCCAGTAGCATTTTTATTTTATTTCATCTTTTTTGCCTATTTCTTCTTGTACTTCCTAGATGCCTTATGCTGTTACATACGATCTTTTGTATTGCTTCTTAGTTAGTGGTATGTTTATCATTATCATCTTAGACCAACTTTTTGTCCCACACGAGGAAAGTTCTATTTTATATAATGGATGAAAACCATTGAGTGGTTTGGATTGTCATATTTATATATTGTGCAGGATTCTGTTCATGTATGACATTAAGGATGAGGATATTGATAGTGTTGTTGAGCGATCTCATCTTCAAAGTGTGGCTCAGTCAACTCCTCTTGAAATGCAGCTCCCTGTTGTAGAAATGCTAAAAGTATGCCCTTTACAATATATTTATGTTTTCATCCATTTACATATTGATTCTAAAGCTAGCCATAAATTGGAGGTTTGGTCGTGTTTATTGTGATTTTTTTGAAAAGGCATTTGTTTTGTTCAATTTGTTAATGTTTTAAGATGCTTTTTAATTATTAAGTGCTAATTCTGATAATATTGCAGGACTTCATGAGTGGTAAAACTGTTTTCCGCAATATCATGGGTATTCTTTTGCTAGGGGTCAATACTATCATGAGTGAAAGATCTAGTAAAGTTTATGGTCAACTTTTGGAGAAAGCTGTTCATCTTTCTTTGGAAATTATTATTCTTGTTTTGGAGAAGGATTTGTTTCTTGCTGATTTCTGGCGCCCTTTATACCAGGTTGGTATCACATTGTATAATTTTCATGGGTTGCTTTTTCTTTGGTTTAATTAGAATTTTGTTTAATGCCAAGAAGATTATTTTGATAGACTGTGTTTTCTATGTAATCAATCTTATTTAGGGAATAGGTGATATTTAAGACAACTTGTCATTGGGGTAAGGGCTTAAAAGTACATAGTGGCAATATTTTAAAACACGGAGGCGTGACACGAAAACGAGGCATTCCACCACCTAGAGGCGTAGTTCAGAACGTAAGAAGCGTCAGGCTCCTGAACACAAGGAGGTGTAAGCCTCCTTAAGAGAGGTGGATGAGGAGGAAGAAGGAGGAAGGGGAGGAGGAAGTTGAAAGAGGATCGCATACCCCCTTATCTTTCCTTCCCTTTCCTTTCCTTTTCTTTTCTTTCGTTTTCCCTTTTCTCTTTTCTTTCTTTTTCTTTCCCTTCCCTTTCTTTTCCTTTCCGTTTTTTCTTTTTGACTAAAGATAAGGTAAAATTTTATTAAAACAAAGATAATAATACAAGAGGGTCCCCCCAAAACTTACTTTTGGGAGAAGACCACAATGCTTTCATTTTCCTTTCCTTTTCTTGCTTTTTTTTTCTGTCTTTTTATGAGGTGTGCGTGAGGCACATGAGGCGTACGCCTCTAGCACGCTTCATGAAATAAGCGCATGAGGTGTACGCCTTAGAGGTGTCAACGCCTCTGGCATATGCCTCAGGGTATTTTGGGGCGCCTTGCCTTGAGGTGTGCCTCTAGGCATACACCTCCCACGTCTTTTAAAACACTGCATAGTGGAACTATAATATGTATGTGCAATAGCAAGAATAGAGTTTGGTTTGGGTTGTGTTGGGTTTACTTGAGGGTTAATCCTAGTACAATCCAAAGTGAAATTGGCTTGGCAAAACTCAAACCCTAATCCAATTGTCAACCTGATCCAACCCAATATGACTTTTTCAGGTTGGGTTTGGGCTAACCCTGCCTGAGTTGCAGCTCTAGTCAGAGCTTAAATATAACCACTTCACCTCCCAAACCTTGACAGAGAGAGAGAGAGAGAGAGGCCTAGAAACCTTAGATATACCAATAGACCAAATAGATACAAAGAGAGTACCTATACTCTCCAAACATGGCAAGCTGACGAACCCATCCCCAATGGTAATTCTGAAATAACAGTAAATTTCTATAAATTTTACAATGGATATGGCAATATAGTATTAAACAAAACGGAATGGAAAAATAAGGTTCATGTATTTGACATAGTTGTGATAAGGCCTGGATGATGATGATGAGTCGATTTCTAGGAAACTTAAAACCTTATTCTTAAGACACCTTTAATTAGAAAATAAATTTAAAAAACTCAAATAGTATCGATATCCCATCACATAAAGATTTTGAAATTGGTGTAGGGAGATGTAAAATGTCTGTTTCAGTGGAAATGTCCAAATATAGGATACATGTCAGATTTTTTTTTTTTGATCAACCAACATGTCAGAAATGTTGTGTGGAAATATTGTATAAGTTATAGATAAGGAGGAAACATTGTTAAGTATGCAAAATATTAGAGCAATATTTAACAAAATGATAAAAGAAGCATAAGTACAGCCTTTTAAATTATCACCTTGTTCCAAACCATGAAATAAAGCTAAGAAACTAAGGTTAGTAGACAAAATTATAAGTTGCAAAATTGCCCTGTAAACTATATGACAGTGTTAGATAAAAAAAGAAGTCATAGATGGTGCAAATGATTCTAATAGATTGGCCAATTATCTATTACACATTGCTAATTCACATATCTATAATATCTGGCTTAATGTGCCAGTTGTTTTCAATTGGGTCCTCTAATATTTTGTGTTGGTACCCATGGAAATGGAAACATGTCATGGAGATATTAGCAAATGCATGGGGATTTTAAACAATGGATGGAAAGACCAATTTGTTTCTCCATGTATTCTTTCCGTGATTCAATATTTGCATCAAGCAGTGAGGCGTGACTTGGTGCACGTAGAAGGCTATAAAAGAGCAGAGGGACAAGACCAAGCAAAATGTGGTTCTAAGGATTTAAGATTTGACAGAAAACTTGGTTCTTGACGGAGGGTAATGTTGGGACAGGATTCTCATAGTTGACCCCAAATATTTGGAATTTAGGTTCAGTTGAGCTGGGATAATTTCATTTTTTTTTTTGTTCTGTGAGACTGTGACTTAAATATTAAAGATTCTCCTTTACTCAATTGACACTTCTATATATTATTCTGAACTATCTTAATTTATATCTGGTTGATGAATAATTAAATATTATTTTTGTTCAGAATGATTTGTTCTTTAAAATTGTTTTCACCCCGAGTGAAAATTGCATTTTCTTACAGTCCTGTGGGGTAAATAGATAATTATGAAAAACTCAAAGGTTAGTATGTAATTATGGTAGCCTCATAAGTGAATGAATAAATTGCATTGTTTCACATTTCTTAAAAGTTATCGTATAGGATTAACGGTTGTAGACCAAAGTGATTGGTGAAATCCTAACTAAAAAACAAAATAAAATTGGGAATGATATCATTTTGGAATTAACATTAAATCTGCTTTGTCCTCTGCATATAATAACTATAATCTAGTTCTCAGTTTCTTGTCATAGCCTTCTGGATGACTCTTGACAGAATTGAGGTGGTTGCCTTACATTGTTGCCCTGGTTTATTATTAGGCTTTATTTCCTGGTTAGGCAAACAAATCTGTGCTTACATTTTTTGCTCCTTTACCTTGTGCAGCCATTGGATGTAATACTTTCTCAGGATCAGAATCAAATAATAGCTTTGTTGGAGTATGTGAGATATGATTTTCAACCTCAGATTCAGCAATGCTCTATCAAAATCATGAGTGTTCTAAGGTTTTTCCTTCCCTGTATCTTTTTTTTTGATTAATAACCACAGAAACTCATTAATGTTAAAAATTTAAGAAGTAGAAAAGGAGAAAAGTCTGTCAGAGGTAAACCCTCTTATCTCTCCCCTCAAGTTGTTGCTATATTGCTATTATGCCCAAAAAATTTGATTTCTCCCAACCCCTTGTTTGGCTAACACATCAGCCACAGAGTTTGCAGTTCTTTTTCACCCGAGATATCTCACTTCCATGTCCCGTTAAGCCATCTCAATTTATTCAATTATAGCTTCTTTTGTCTTTCCTTTCTTCCCACACTGTCCAACAAATTGCAGCCCTCACACACCTCTTTACCTGTATCTTGGTTTATGTGGTCTGGTGATTCATCATTGTGGTTTACTCCATTCTCTTTTTTAAGGCTTTAGATGTAAAGGTTATTTGATGTTTATATGCAGAATACAAGTTTCTTATTCATGCTTGTAGAAACCTCTTAAATTCTTTCTTGTCAGTTCTCGCATGGTGGGTCTTGTACAGTTATTGCTAAAATCACATGCTGCAAACTGTTTGATCGAGGATTATGCAGCTTGCCTTGAATTACGCTCAGAAGAGTGTCAGATCATTGAGAACTCCAGAGATGATACAGGCGTTCTTATTATACAGGTTGGTCCATTCTTGTCTCTTCTGTGGTAACTGGGAAATTGTTTGTATTGTTTCCAGAAAGGATGATGTAACTATTCTCTGTGCCATTACCAGCTTCTCATTGACAATATTAGTCGACCATCCCCAAATATTACACATTTGCTGCTCAAGTTTGATGTGGATTCATCTGTAGAGCGGACAATACTACAGCCAAAATTTCATTACAGGTTTAAATAGTTCAAAATTATTAAGAATTTTTTGTTCAATGCTACTCACCTTGTATCATAATTTTATTATATATTATTATTATATCTTGTGCAGTTGCCTAAAGGTTATTCTTGACATTCTGGAGAAGTTTTCGAAGCCAGACATAAATGCATTGTTGTATGAATTTGGTTTACAGGTGAGATGGGAATCATTCTAGTATTAGAAGAATTTTTGCTTTAGGTTCTTTTTATTTTACCAATATCTGTGTTTGTTATATGCAGCTTTTATATGAGTTATGCTTGGATCCACTGACAAGCGGTCCTATGTTGGATCTGCTCAGCAATAAAAAGTACCGGTTCTTCCTGAAGGTACACATTACCATGCATTTTAAATTTCAGTTTTGTTTCCTTTGTCTTATGTTGATCTATTGGCACATATCTGTTATTGTTTTATATTATCTTTGTTGCCTCAAAGTGTACTACTACTTTTTATGTTTTTATTGCTTTTGTTGGTTAATGACTCTTGGCTTTATTTCAGCACTTGGACACAATTGCTATTGCTCCTCTTCCTAAAAGGAATAATAATCAGGCCCTTCGTATAAGTTCACTGCACCAGGTACGTTTATTGTCCATGTTTTTCACTAAATGTTATTTGTTCCATATCTTACACCTATGCAACTGAACTTATCATACTTAAATAGTTGCATTAATCATGTACTTTACTATGCCTTCCTTTCCTGTAGTTTTAATTGAAATGGTTAGTACATTAGGTTTTTCAAATGATTGGTTTCTCTAGGGTTTGTGATAAGACTTGCTTACTGACTCTATAAAATGTGTCTCTTGGTTTTGAATTGTTTGGCATCTCTAAGACTTGGACACATGTCCAACATGACTCGTCATGCATTTAAGAGATTCCATGCAACAATGTGGAAAACATTAATTTTTATTTGCTTGTGCTTCATAAAGTTCTTTAGTGTAGGATTTAACTGGAGTTATCTAGTTGACCATGGGTGACTAGCAGTACATTTTATGTGAAGGACTTGTTCTAGTTGACCATGAGTTCTTAAACCATGGAAATAGGTATAAGGATAGCATAGCATTTATTTGATAGGAGGCTTTTGGTCAGAAGAAATTGCTTGAGATTATCAAGTGTTTATGGAGGCTTTTGGTCATTGCCAAACTGCATAAGGGGTAAGTGAGGAAATTTGGATACTAGTAAGAGTCATAGAGTCACACCAATACTGAAATACAAAATTGGATAAGAGAGAAGGGATGCAGGCTTTATGTAGGCATAGGAGGTTCAAATTAAAAATGATTGGGTGTGGGATGTATGGGGTGATTCACAGGTTGATGCAGATACATTTTACAGAAGCAAGAAAAGAATCCATGGAGAAGAAAATCAGTTTCCCAATTCCTACACGAGTTTCAAAATTTTTAGGTTATAGATATACTGTGATTTTTGAGTTTTTAAATTTATTTTCAATTGTAGGTGACTTACGAATAGGGTTTTAAGTCTTCTGAAAATTTACTATTATTAGTAAATCAAAATTACTATTTATGATAATTTCCAGAGTTACTATTTATGGTATTTCTACTAAAGTTGTGAGATACTATTTTTAGTAATTTAAGGATCCTTTACATTAAGTTAGGCTCCATTTGGATGGGATTTTGAGCTTTGGGCCGTAAGAAGCAAAAATGAGCCAAAAAGTGTTTCAAATGTTTGCTAAGAGTTGCTTCTAAAATCATAATAATCTAAAGCCAAAACACTTTCAAGCCCAAAAGCACAAAGCCTAAAATTTGGGAATTTGCTTTTGGGCTTTAAAAGCACAAATCCTGAAACCTATCCAAACACAACCTTTGTTTTAGTAGTATCAGTAAGGTGTTACTGGATTGTTTAGGAGTTCGGTGGTCACTGATTGCTAAATCAAGTAGGTGGTAGGGACACTATTTTTTTTATTTTATTTTTCCAATGGAGTTCCATTATATGGAACATGTCCAAGCATAGCCCATGCACAATTTTGGAAAAGAGAAAACAAGGTTATCTATCAGAAAAAAAAAAGAAAAGAAAAGAAAACAAGGTTGTGAGGGTGGTTGATAGGCCTTGCCATTGCTGATTTCCTGTTGTTTCTTTCTTTATTTATTCATGTTTCTGTTGGGCTTTATTCATACATTTTGTTTTTGGGGTATGGGCCTCATTTTTCTTTTTTTTAGTCTTTTTCATGCTACTGCCTAACTAGGGGCATTCTTGTAATTTTGTTTATCAGTTTCAGCAGTTGATATAAAAAGTAGTGGGGTCTCACAATGGCTCCCCCCCATTAGATTGCTGCCCATTCATCCTATATTCCTTGTATTCTTCTCTACTGTCTTGATCATCAATTTCTATTTTTTCCTGATTATTATTTTACAAGACAAGTAAGAGAAAGAGAGAGTTACAAGAACGGAGAACTGATGATTAGCTTCCATGGGTTCCATTGGAATGTTAAGACAAGCATTAAATTGGTACTCCATTCCAAAATTCTTTCTGCAAAAATCATTATGTGTGCTGCTTTCGTTCTTGCAAATCTGAGTTTCTCCAAATTGATCACGTGATGGAAAATAGGAGGATCTTCAGGGCCTGGTTTCTTTTAGACAGGTCAAAGATTTATGCTTGCATGAATCTTTGGTAGACCTTGGCTTGCACCATCATGAAATCCCAAATATGTGAGTGTGGTACTGAAGTCAATCTTTGACAGACCTCTTCTAATCAATGTATCCCTAGAGAGACTGTTCCTCGTGGTTCAAGTGCTCACTGTGAAGACAAAGGCTGTGTTTGATGGATTGAAAATTTTCAAATCAGTTCATTGGGAAAAAATTCAAACTGTCATCAACCAATACTAGAGTAATAACCCAAATAGTCCAATTTTGTCCTGATCGTATTCTCAATGAAGTCTCTTTTCTATTAATAGAGCAAATAGGAGTAGGTACAATGAGTAGAAGTACATAACAAAGACAGTAAGAGATAAGTCTTCTTATCTCTCCTCAATTTACCTTTCTCCCTTACAGTTGTGCCCAAAATAAAGATGCTTCCCTAAAGAGTGAGCTATGAGGGTGCTACTTTCTAGTTATGTCTCTCAGAAACATGTTTTCATCTTCTTTATTTTAATTAAATAACTGTTGAAATAGTGTTGGGAGTTTTATTTCTAGTTTGTACCAATCCTACCCATGTTGTTTTTGAATTAAAAGGTTATCACTTTTAAGTTTTCTGGTTGGATCATGGATGCCTCTAATATGTTTTAATTATCTCTTAAGTGTCACTTATTTACAACTTCATTTTTTATTTGTTAAGTCATCCTTGTAGAAAGAAAATGGGAGACCCCTTAATATATTTTAATCTTTTTAAAGCTTATAGCTGAAGGATAGCTATGCACTACAAATAGTGTAAAGGAGGATCTTAAGGCTTTGAAATGGAAGTGAACCGGGAAACATTAGAAATAATAGCATTATTAAACTATTTACTTGAAGGGTAAACTTTTAACACAAGGGACACATTATGGATAATTTGTATTTAATATGCTATTTACTTTTATGGAAAAATTGCAATGTGAACCTATAAGAAGTTGTACTATGGTATTTAATATAATATTTACTTAGTGAAAATAGGTGTGGCTAATTGCTCCCTGCTAGTTTTTTTATAAGGTAATTGAATGTACTCCTTTCTAACAATGATACTTTCCAGAGAGCATGGCTTTTGAAGCTTTTGGCATTGGAGTTGCATGCTGCTGATTTGACTGTAACAACACATCGAGAAGCATGTTCAAATATCCTTGCTCAGATTTTTGGATGTGATGTTAGAGAATTTGGCTTGAATCGTGATATATTTCTGTCATCTGCATTTGAAGCAAATGCTGACCATCCTAGAATTGGAGCTACAAATAGGAGCAAGGTAATCTAAGAAAACCTTCTGAATCACTGCTTTTATTTATATTGTATATGCATTATAAGTTCATTGCTTATCTTGACTTTGGTTGAAATATCCATGTATTTACTGAACTTATCAAAAATTAGATTTGTGTATTTCTTATCTAGTTTTAATTTGATATTCTGTATCATTGATGGGGAATATGGCCCACATCGAGTTACATTTGGGTTGGCTTGTGAGTCAGGCTGGTCAAGGTATAAATTCATAAAAGATTAATATGTAATAATTTGTTGGGGTAAACTAAATATGGTAACTACATTTTTCTCGGGGTGTGTTACTGAGGTGCCTTCTGGAGGATTTGGATCCAATATTAAATATTTCCCGTATAGGTGGTCTGCGAGGTCAAATATCAGCACATTGGATGTCCTGAAAGGAATTACTGTATGTGTTCTTCTATTTAGTCACAATGACATATATCTGGAAAAGAAGCCCCCACAAGTGGTGGCCCATTGCATGGTTGAGACCACTGTGTTAAAGTGGTTTGAACAATTCTTCCTTTCCATCTTCACCACCTTGGCTCAGGACTTAATGCCATTCTCATTTCCTGTTGTTTGAATTATGGGCATGTGCTTGTGCCAAACAACCATGGAGTTCTTGTAGAAGAAATTTCCAACACCAAACAGTCCTTTTCATTTAGGAGCTGCTTGCAATTATTGGATGAATCTGTCTTATAGTTATGATAACTCCTATTTCATGCATCATGTGTTAGCAATTTTGTTATTCTGTATTATATTTGACGTGTTCCTCCATTCATTTTGTATCCTGTGATGCCATAATTCATGATCTGTTGTTACATTTTTGGTTTTGTATGAAGGGGATATGTATTTCATCATCAGAGCATTAGATTGTCATTGTTTTGGTGATAGGCTTGCTATTTTCCGTGTTATTTCTTCTCTGCAAGTACAAAGGTGTTTTGGTTGCAAATTTCAGGTTTTAGAGTTGCTTGAAGTAGTCCAGTTTAAATCTCCTGATACTGTTATGAAGTATTCTCAGTTTGTTTCAAAGAAATACGAGTTGCAGGTAAGATGAGCTTTTGACGGTATCTCCTCCCCTGTTGGGTATTTCTTGAAGAAACCTTAATTATTGTGCTTTGGATGTTGCTAATGCTCTTAACTTTAAAGGTAGAAGATGTACTTAGAAATCCTGCAATTTCCGAAAAGGGTGGTGTCTATTATTATTCAGAGCGTGGTGATCGTTTGATTGATCTTGCTTCATTCCGTGACAAGCTATGGCAGGTTCTGTATCAGTACACTATAATAAGGTTTTGGTTTTCTGCTAGATGATCAAATCATAGGAATTCTTAGTTCGATTATGCAATACTTCCCTTTTAATTATTTTCATGGTGCAGCTTTTTTTACTGACTTTTTGGTCTCTTCAGAAATGCAATTTTGTTAATCCACAGTTGGGCTCCTTTGGTGGTGAAGTTGAGCTCAGTGATCTAAGAGAGACAATCCAAAACCTTTTGAGGTGGGGATGGAAATACAACAAAAACCTCGAGGAACAAGTTGCCCAACTTCATATGTTAACTGGCTGGTCACAGTTGGTAGAGGTGAATGCTTTTCCACTTTGTTGTGTTCCTTGAAAGAGTCCACTGACATACTTGTGATTTTTTGCACGTTCATTGACCGTCTTCTTTTCTTGATTGCTTTCAGGTTTCTGTATCTAGAAGAATGTCTTCTCTTGAAAACCGTTCAGAGGTTTTGTTTGAGTGAGTCAATGTTTATTGCTAACAGTATTCTTCTACTTTGCCTAGAAGTTCTCTAAACATTTCACTTTATCGCTAGCAGGGTGCTTGATGCCTCTTTGACTGCTTCAGCTTCTCCAGATTGTTCTTTAAAGATGGCAATACTATTAACTCAGGTATAATCACCTTGTTTTTTTATTTTAATTTTGTTTTATTTTGTCTTTGTTCTTTTTGCTGCACAAGTGTATCTGCAGTTTGCCTTCATTATTAAATTTAACTATCTTAATTGACTGAAATGTCAATAGGTTGCACTCACATGCATGGCCAAATTACGGGATGAACGATTCTTGTGCCCCGGTGGTGTAAATTCTGATAATGTGACATGTCTTGATATTATTTTGATGAAACAATTGTCAAATGGGGCTTGCCATTCGGTATTGTTTAAGCTTATCATGGCAATTCTGAGGCATGAGTCGTCAGAAGTCCTGAGGAGACGGTATGATGTAATTGGGTCAGCAATGCTGTTTCTTTATTTGTTTTTCATTGCATTTTGTAGAGGAATCTGATTTTTCTTGAACTTTCTAAAATTCAGCCAGTATGCATTACTTCTTAGCTTCTTCCAGTATTGTCGGCATATGCTTGATCCAGATGTCCCAGCATCAATATTGCATTTTCTATTGCGTGAGGAACAAGGTGGAGAAGAGGATCTTGATCTCCGAAAGGTGCCTGGCTTTCTTGTCCTTGCATCCTGAGTTGGTAGTTTTATGTTGTACTTGCATCCTGAGTTGTAGTTTTATGTTTTTCCCAGATTGATAAAGAACAGGCTGAACTAGCACAAGCCAACTTTTCTATTTTAAGGAAAGAAGCTCAAGCCATCTTGGATTTGGTAGGTTCCCTCCTTTATTGATGATCATTTGGTGTTTATGTAATTATCATCATACTAGTCCTGATTTGCAAGTGGAAATTCACGGGCAAAGATCTATATCTATTTCTGTCATCTTTGTCGTATAATTTTCTGTGAAATCTGTGTTGTGCAATTGTGTGAAAGATAAAAAGAATCCCCTAATTTATTGATCCTGCTATAATTAATGAGTTTCATATGTAGTTATGCACTAGGCACAGAAAGCATCATCTTCGTCTTTGATTTCTGTGGTGCTTCTAGGCATCATATGTCCTTTAGGGAATAGGATGAGTTATATTCAAGAAACAAAGCTTCATTTATCAGGAAAAAATGTTCAAGATAAAAAGTGCATTCCAGGATGGGGGGTGGTGGGGACTAACCACTTGGATAATTGGCTCTTTCATACTCATTTATCAAAAAGAAAATGGATCTTTCATACTAATGAAAAACTGTAAGCCTTGAATAGTTTTTTGATGTGGAAGAGAGTGCAACAGAGTTGGTGATAAAGGACTTTGTAGTGACAATTGACATGGGCCTATGTGGTAGGAGAGTGAGAGGAAATACTCTGTTATAGGCTAAAAGACCATGATTGGACCTCAAAAGCTACTGTTTTGACTTCTAGTTATCTTTTAGTGGCGTGAGTAATTAGTAACTATTTGGTAGGTGTAACAATTGGTTGGCTTCAGGCTGTGTCTAACACTCTAACTGTCTATATATATATCCAGGGTCAGACCCTATTACATGCATCAGGTCTGGGTCTTGTCTGTTCTGTATCCGGTATGATAAAAGTGGTTCCAGATCCACCAAATGATTGGAATTAGTTGGGTAATGGGTATAAGGAAATCGACACAATTCTATTGATAACTGTTAAGGATGAACTGTACTCTCCTCCCTCCTTTAAATTTCAAGATTCACATAAGATTGCTAAAACTACAACTCAGGATGGAAACCCTCCCTTGGAACTGTTATTGATACACAATTCTGGTATTTGCTAACCTGGTCTGTGGTTGGACATGATTCCAAATGGGTGTTAAATCTGTAAGCCTGAGTTTGACCATATCATGCTTGGGTCAAAAAAGTATGGGTTAGACCCCATTAATTGGAGCCTGGTATGTTTGGTATCCTAGTATTCAGGTACCCATTAATTGGGGCCTAGTATAATTATTACTCCTTTGTTTCTTCTCTTTCCTTTGTTATTGTCCCTTCCAGATGCTCTGAAGTTGTAACTAATCCAAAATGGAGGGAGCCAATGAATGAAGAAATGATGGCTTTATTGGAAGGGGTTTGTGTAGATGGAGGGCGATGATTGTAAGGAGACATTTGCTCCTATTGCAAAATTGAACACTGTACGGGTTTTGTTTTCCTTTGTAGCTAATTCTCTTGGGAATGACATCAATTATACATTAAAAGTGTTTTCTTAATTGGAAATTTACATGAGATGTTTATGGATCCTTGTAGCTACAGCTTCCAAGGGAAGGTCTGTAAATTAAAGAAAACTTTCTATGGCTTTGTGGAACAAGGAAGAATATAGGATATATTCAAAGTATTGCTGACCACACAATGTTTGTAATAAAGCAAGGTTATAAGCTAACACATCTTATAGTATATGTTGATGATATTGTGGTAATAAAAATGATTTAGAGGAGATATAGAGGTCAAAGATACTCTTAGCTTTTAAATTTGAAATTAAGGAGCTTAGCCCCTCAATATTTTCTTGGAATTGAGGTGGCAAGATATGATAAGGGCATGTATCTATGTTAGGGAAAATATTCTTTGGATTTTTAAGATGGAAGTATTAAATAGGTACAATGGGTAGTAGGTTGGTTGATAATCCCATAGAGCATAATTGTGGCTTGCGAGAGTTTGATGGTGAGCGCTATCCAGATAAGGAGGGAATCGAGGGTTATCAAAGGTTGCTGGGTAAGTCAATCTACTTGTCCTTCAATAGACCAGACATCACTTATGCAGTATGTCGTGGATGCATTCGTGGAAAGAATTACCGCCGCCGGCAGTAGCAGTGAAGGGGGCCCACACAGCAGCTTATCTTGCCACGTCAGCTCTTCTTGCCAGCTCGCCAATAGTTTACTTATTCCAGTTCTGTTCTTACTTATCTAGTTCTATTCTTACTTGTCTATTAGAGATAGGAACTGAGTTCTGTTAGAAGTCTGTTAGAAGTAGGAGTTCTGTTCTTACTTATCTATTAGAGATAAGAATTGAGTTCTGTTAGAAGTCTGTTAGAAGTAGGAGTTTGATTTAAAGTTGGATTGTCCTAGCTTAGTCGAATGGAGTAAGGAGTCTCCTCTTGTAATCTCCTATTTAAGGAGCTGTGATTTGGGAATAAAGTATTCAGTTTCTAGTCAAGAGAAGAGTGAGGAGAGTTCGGGTGGTCTCTTGGACAAATCACTTATTCGGTTTTCCACAATAGGGTCTGCACACAAGGGAAGGCGCAAGGGGAAGCAAGAGGTTCTCCCCGTGGACCGAATCGTGATGAGATCCTACGCGCGGGCCCATAACACAGTATATGTTGTAAGCATAGTTGTCAAGGCGACGCCTAGGCAACAAGGCACCCTTTGAGGCTCACTTTGCCTAATCGCCGAGCAGTTTTGTACTTTGTATTATAAAATACTTTTTTATTCTTTATTTTTTGACATTATAATTATAAAATAGGCCCTAGGATCTATGTTTTCTACATAAAAAAATCCATCAACTTGGTGCCTTGAAAACTATGGTTGTAAGCCAATTCATGCATGCACCTATTGTGAGAGAATTCTTAGATATTTGGAAACATGTCCAAGGAAGGGAATACCATTGAAGAAGCATGATAGGCTTGAAATCGAGGCTTTTGCAGATGCGGATTGGGTAGGCTCTATAGGGTACAAGAAGTCTGCATTTGATTATTGTACATTTGTTGATGGTAATCTAGTTGCCTAGAGAAGTAGGAAGCAGAATGCAGTAGCTAGTAGCTAGATTAAGTGTGGAAGCTGAATATAGAGCTATGGCCCATGGTGTGGCTGAGTTGTTGTGGCTTCACATCTTACCCTGAGTTGGGGGCCTTGGGGCTGAAGATTACTAGTCCTCTTAAGTTGTAGTGTGATAACAAAGCTACTAGGCACACAGGCGAGTTGCATTTTAAGGTAAGCACCTTGTCTAGTTCCTAGGCACAGCACTTTGAAAGGATGTGCATTTGGCACACCTACATGTGCACCTGTTGCAACTTGTTCTTCAGCCCAGGCGTGCACCTTTTCAAAAATTGTGCATTTTGCTTCTTCTTTTATGCCTAGTGGTTAGGTCAGGGATGGGGCCCCTCGAACCCTGGTCAAGCCTTTTGAGGCAAGCCCAAAGGCCCCAAACAAGGTCATATGAACGTCTTAAATTCTTGATCCCTATTTGCTGATTTTGTTCATTCATTCATCCTAATAAATGATGTTTTTAAAAGAGCATTAAAATCATAAAATCATTTTTTTGTGTTGGGATTAAGAATTTAAGACCTTGACATAGCCTTGTTTGGGCTTGCTTCAAGGGACTTGGTGCAAAAGCGGCTCATGGAATTAGGAATGGAAAATGTTTAACATCATATTAGTTATTTAAATTAATGCAGTTGGGAGAGAAATAAAGACATTGAAAGTTTTGCATTCTCACTTTGAATATGTTTTATATGTTATGTTTATGTATTTAATTTGAGCTAATAGGCATAGGATTTTTAAAATTAAAGTTTATTTTTCTAATTAATACTATTTTTATCTTTCCTTAATTTATTTTCATTTTTTCAATTTTTTGATGTTTTTAATTTTGCACCTTGCGTCAAAAAGGTGTATGCCTTGCCTTGTGCCCTGCGATGTGGGTGCAAAATGGCCTTTGCACTTTTTTGTGCCTTGCGCTTTTAAAAATTGCTTTTGTGAACTTTGTGATCCATACACTCCTTCAGAGAGGCAGTGAGCTGATGCCCTTACTAAAGGATTGTCATAAGCGAAGTTTCATGGATTACTTATCTATACTCAGTTTGAGTTGGAGCGTTGTAATGAATGAATATCTCAGGCTGGGCCTTCTCAGTTTAGGAGTGTGCTATATTCTTGACTCATCTGACTATCTTGATTGCCAATAGTTTAATGTTTATTTATGCTTTCTTAATTGTTATTGGTTCCAAAGTTGTCATTGTACTGTATGCCAATATTATTGTGGTTTTCACATTTTGTAAAGTAATTATGCTTTGTGTCATTTTGTCTTGTTATCTTTCTTGTTCTTATGGTTTCTCCTACATGTTCTCCTTAACTGCAGGTGACAAAGGATGCAATTCATGGTAGCGAAGCAGGAAAGACAATAGCAATCTATGTTTTGGATGCATTTACTAGTATTGATCAAGAAAAGTTTTTCTTGAACCAACTCCAAAGCAGAGGATTTTTAAGATCCTGCTTTGCAGATTTAAGCAATCTGTCCTCTCAAGTTGGTGTTCTTTCTTTGATTTCATTGCTTTTAAAATGTTTTTATTTTTGTTTGTAAAAAGATAGGGCTGTTTATTGTTAAGGGAAGAAATACAATTTTTCCATTTGGTTTGACAAGTAAAAGACACAAATCATGTCCCATCTAGAACCACATCAAAAGTTAGCGCAAATGATAACCATCACTGATTTTTAGGTCATGTGTTTACTTACACTTTATTACAGTTCCATATGTAAAAGAGCATTATCATTTTCTTAGGCTTAAATTCATATATCTTCAGTGCTTGTTTTACCTAATCATGAGGTTATCATTTTCCTGCATTTGCTAGTTTTGCTATGATGTGGGAACCTGTAGTTGTAAAAAGCAACTCAGAGAAGAGGGCAGTGATAAATTTAGAAAATCATACCATTGGGGCTGTGTCAAATGAAAGCATATACCTTCATAAACTGATGTCACCAGATTTTACCAACAATTGTTTTGTGGTATTTAAGAGTGACCATTGATTACTCTTGGATCTCTTCCTTTTATATCAAGAGTAAAGCGACCACCATACAAAAGATGCATCACTTTACTTTCCATAACCCCTTAAAAGGGCAACTGGCATACCTTGAGATGTCCAATGTAGCACAAGACCGTCCAAGTGAAGCATAATGTGCTAATAAATGATTGACTTAATTCATTCTTGAGGCACATTACACAACCAGCCGGAGAAGATTGGTGTGAAAAGTATTTTACATGCCTTGAACAAACCAATACAAAAAAAGTACTTCTTTATAAATATTCTTCATAAAGATCAACTCTAGAACTCTTTTGCATCATAGTATTTTCTCAATATCCTTCAGCTAGCAATCTCTATGACTAGTTGTGTAGAGTTAAGCACTTGCAAATTGTCTGTGACACTTCCTCTTAAGCTATCATCAATATTCTTTATTTTCTGGGGAATGTCTTCTTTCCTAGGATGGTTGGCGTTCACTGGATTCACTGCAAAGATTGTGTACTCTGGAGGCTGAACTTGCTTTTCTATTGAGGATCAGTCACAAGTATGGGAAGGCTGGTGCACAGGTTTTATTTTCCATGGGTGCTTTAGAACAGCTTGCTTCATGCAGAATAACTGGACTGCAGATGAAGGTACTGTTTGTGTATGCATCTTTTTTTTATTCCACTTTACTTAGGCTGATGGAAGCATTTTTATCAGGGAGGTTTTAGGTCTATTGATGCCAAGGTTCGCAGAAATGTACCTATGGAGATTGATATGCAAAGAATGGTTGTAGTGCCAATTCTTAGACTTGTTTCTTCTCTGACATCCTTGGTGGATACGTCTGACTTTTTTGAGGTTAATTACCCTCAGCTTTTCTTAGTCAGAATTCTTGTCTTTTTCCTTTATAAATTGGAATTTAGCGAAGTGATACTCTTTGTAGATTCTATTTCGTTTATATATTGGCATTCTCTTTGTGAACTGTTTCTCCCTACTTTATTCTACCAGTTGCTGTTGGGCATGTAGCTGCTGTCTATTTTTGTAATTTAATAGCATAATTATTTAATTAGTAATGCCAAGCTATGATTTCCAGTAATTGTGGATGTTCATTATTTGAATAGTAGTTTAGCTTGCAAAAATTTTTCTGGGTGCACTTTGGTATTCTTGGGATTCTCATTGTTCTCATCTTGTTTGTGCATTCTGTTTTAGTTTTCATGTTATAAATATTATTAGTGTTAACTGATTGTGGAATAGGTGAAGAACAAAATTGTTCGTGAGGTCATTGATTTTGTCAAGGGACATGAATTGCTCTTTGACCAAGTTCTTAGGCGGGATGTTTCTGATGCTGATGAGTTAGCATTGGAGCAGATTAACCTTGTCGTTGGCATTCTAAGCAAGGTGAGGGCCTTTACTTGATGTATACAAGATTTAATAATGAAAAGGAAAAACATTGAGATATCAAGAGCCTGCCCTTTTGGTAAATTGGCTCCATGTTTGCCTTGGCATATTGTTTGTTAGTTGGCCTTAATACAAGGCACAATGTGGGCTTTATGCTTATTCATTGCAACCCAAGCACAATGACAACTTCATTTTCGGTGTGAATCCTTAAAAGTGGTTTTGTGCTCATTTGTCTAACACATTATATGTTGTTGGCAATGTAAGTTGGCTTTATCCAATCTTAATTTGAAAATGCAATGATGTTTTGGGTATCCTGTAGGTTTGGCCATATGAAGAGAATGATGAATATGGTTTCATTCAAGGGCTTTTTGGGATGATGTGCATTATTTTTTCTAGGGATGTAGAATCCTTTAGTTTCCATCAAACATTACGACCTCTCGAGGTAATGCAATTATTTCTTATGAGATATACAATATATAAAATTTTAAGATTCATATAATCAGTGTACTGAACAATTGTATGTTCATTATCAATGATCAGAACCAAAGAAAGACAGAGTTGTTCTTGTTCCGACTATGCTTTTGTCTGAACTCATACCTTTATTTTCTGGTCACAAAGAAGTCCCTGAGGTTGCAGGTATGTATACTGGAGTTGTGGTAGTGACCTGGTTGCTATGTGATCTCTAAAAGTTTCTAGAAAATCATTAATGCTTTGAAGGTGGATCTCTTTTCTTTTTATCAAAACATAACTTTGTGGTTTGCAGGCTATAGATTCCCCTGGTGATTATAATGCTTCTGCTGGGCAGCAGCAGCCCACATTGAGTTTACTTGCTTCTCTACTTAATACTGTAACCATGACTCTCGAGAGAGCGTCCGAGGAAAAATCCTTGCTACTGAACAAGGTAATATGGCTTCTATGATTGAACTTTTTGGGGTGTTTTTCCTTATTCTCAGAGTTTGAACAGTGGTTACTAGATACTTTTTTATGGTTTCCTAGATACAAGACATTAATGAGCTATCAAGGCAGGAAGTTGATGAAATAATTAATATATGTGTAAAACAAGACTGTGTATCTTCATCTGACAATATCCAGAAAAGGTATGCTATCTTGTGGACATTTTCACATCCGTATTTTGTTCTACTCATTCCTTTCAGATTTGTCTTTCTTTTCCTCTATTTTGATATCAGAGCTGTTAAGTTTTACTGTGTTGAATTTAACTGTTAATTTTGGATTTGATTTTCATTAAGAGACAACTTGTATCTTCTATCCTTATACTCAAATTGGAAGTATTTAAGTTTGCATTGTCCAAAACCACTGTCAATAATTATAAGGCATCTCATGAAAATGGCTTAACAGTTTTATATTGGAAAAAGTACATGCCGAGAAGAGAACAATTTGTAAATAATAATATCAAGATCATGAAGCTTGATTCGCAAGGATTAGATGCTCTCTCGTGATACAGTTAGTAATAGGTCCTTACTGTACATGAGTCAACTTGCAAATTAAATTCACTCACTTTTAACTTGTTTTCCTCAAATATTTATTTTTCTCCCTTTAGTTTATTGATGAAGAAAACAGACACAACAAAGTTACTGAGAACCGATGTACCTATTGGTTTTAGACATTGCGCATTAGCCAAGCCATGTAATTCAAATGGTGGCATCAGTTAATGATAATACCTCATATGAAAAAGATGGAGGAGTTTTGAAACCCAATTCCATAGTTATTCTCCCCTTCAATCTTGTGAGTCAATTCATAAAGAATATTTATATGTACCTTAGCCTAGATAGACCAATTATGTTTATTGATTGATCTGCCTAAGGTCAATTATGTTTTTTGATTGATCAATTCATAAAGACCAATTATGTCAATTCGTAAAGAATATTTCACTGTAGTTTAGTTATGTTTATTGATTGATCCGCCTAAGGCTTCACTGTAAATTATTACCAATAATTTATGGTCTCTAACAGTTTACTGCTCCATTGGCATCCAAGTTTGATTTGATTAGCAAAATTGCTACACTGAATTCGATCCAAAATAAAGTTGGACCTAGGGGTGTGAGATTGAATTTGAATTGGGTTGGTTTTTAATCAACGATCTAAAAGGGAGTATGTATGAGTATGACTCTGACTTGTATACTTAGAATCAGTGTTTTAAAAGGTATGGGAGGTGTGCCCCTGGAGGCACCCCCAAAATGCCCTGAGGCGTATGCCAGAGGCGGTGACACCTCTGAGCGTGTGCTTTTTTCATGAGGTGTACTAGAGGCGTAAACCTCATGCACGCCTCATATAAAAAGACAAAAAAAAAAGAAAAAAGAAAGGAAAGGAAAGGAAAGAAAAGGAAAAGAAAGAGAAGGGAAAGAAAAAGAAAGATAAGAAAAAAGGGGAAAAGAAAGAAAAGGAAAGAGATGGGAAGGAAAATGAGATCCTCCTTCCTCTTCTTCCTCCTCAGCCCCCCTCTTATGGAGGCTTACACCTCCTTGCGTTCAGGAGGCTTACGCCTCTTACGCTCTGAACCATGCCTCATGCTTCTAGGTAGTAGAGCGCTTCGTGTCACGCCTCTGCATTTTAAAACATTGCTTAGAATATACGTGTGTGTGTGTGTGTGCTATTATGTCTATATGAAAGAGAATAAGACTTGGATGTTAAGTGAATCAAATAGGAGAATACCTGAGTTTGATCCAATTATAAAATAGATCCTACTTTCTAAATCCATGTTTGGTCCAATACGTGTACATCATCTGAGCCCAAGATAATTGGATTTGGATAATTGGGCATAATGGACATCCAATTTGGAATTATGATTAGTCAATTTTGTTTCCAGTGTAATTAAATGAGTCTTTTCATGGAATTCTGCAGAACATGCATTCAAACTAACAACTATGCATCCTTCATTTGAAGTAAATTTTATTTTAAACGAGAAGGAAAATTTTATGCTTTATTATGTACTTGACGTGTTGTACTTGGCCAGCCATGAAACATATCATTAACCTATGAAAGGCATTGCAATTTTCAAATGTTAGGTTTTTGTTTTTTTATGTGATCTTCACAGTGGTTTTCCAAATACAGGAGATACATTGCAATGGTTGAAATGTGCCAGGTTGCTGGCAACAGGGATCAGCTTATTACTCTACTTCTTCCACTTGCAGAGCATGTGCTTAATATTATCCTCATCCACTTTCGTGACAGGTAGAATTACTAACTGCTTGGTGATGTTATTTGCATGCAACTATTTCATGTATCAGTTATCTCTTGATGATTCTCTCATTTATGAAATCAGTGGACCGATTAAAAGAGCCATACATGGTGTCAAGTCTGATTCTGGACAAGACATATCTTTATTGTGCGGGAAGTTGCTTCCAATTTTAGAGAGACTTGAGTTACTAAGTGAGGTACAATTTACCACTGACTTAATTGTTACTCTTATGCAATTGTTTCACCATTTATGTTCTCAGTATCATCATGGCATGCTGGAAACTTTGTGCAAATTAGCAGCCTCGCTAAAAATTGGAATTTTTTATTTCCTAGAGCTCGTTTGGGAGGGCTTTGGCTTTGATTGAGCTGTGTTAACCAAGCCACTTTGAAGAAGCTACTAGAATTAACTTCATTGGAAAGTCAATTTTGCAGTTGAATTAGCATACTTGGGCTTTCCAGGTTTTTCACCAACATAGCTTCTAGGCTTTCCATGTGGAGCCCACCTTGCAAAGCCAGAATCCACTGCATGAAAGCCCTCCCAAACAGGCACCTAATCTCTTCCATAAGCCCAAGGGCTTGTTTGATTATTGGTGAAGTGATTGACCTAACCTGACCCTATTACAAGGGGTTTGGGTCTTCTTTTTCAATCTTGACTATTAATAGGATTAGTTATATATCTGTATTGAGTTCTGATTATAATAGGGTCAGGATTGGTTTTACCTGTTTTGACCTGATTAAGACTGAGACATTATTATGTCTTTGTGTGGGGGGCATTAGTACATCATAACATACTAAATTTTAATCTATAGAGGATATATAAGATATTTTGAAAGAGAGCAACAAAATTAGCTGGTTTATTGTCAAAATACCAGATTAACGGCTTGCCAGTTATAACCAAGTTGGTTGTGATTCTAGTACCTCAGACCCTCTGGATAGGATCTTGGTCTGTGTTTTTCTTGGTTCAGGGCTTGGTCTACTCTGGTCCAGCTAAACATGACATGTTGGGCACTTTATCCTGCTTGGTCAACTTGTGAGTTTCAAAGTCAATCCATGCAGCTTTTCAGTAGTAAATCTGAAGTAATCTAGATGTTTGTAACGTGGACTAGAGTTAACTTCCAATCAGGAAATGAATTACAGATAAGGTCCATCACGGGCTGGAACTTCTCATGTGTTGGATATGAATGAGATTCTGTCCTATCAATAAATATATTATAGGGAAAATTGCAGATAGGTACCTTGTACTTTAGGGGTAGTCTCTAGGGCATGAACTTTCATAAATATACATTTAAGTTCAATTCCGTTAATCTAATGTTACAATGAGGGATAAGATTATGAAAATGCCTATGTTATGATTCTCTTTTTTCACTATTCACCTTCTACCTTTGGACTTCGGATGCAAACTAGAAGTGGCAAAGTAAGCTCACCCCAGTTTGTTCATTGGGTAATCTCACTTTCGGATGCTTTGCTGCTGTTTGTTTGCGTCTGAACTCCAAAGGTAAGCTCACCACGGTCTGTTCATTTCCTGCTCAAATTGTTTACTTGAAATGTGTTTGAACATTTGCTTACCTGTCTTCATTTTACTGTTAGGACAAAACTGGCCATAACCTGAAGGTGTTCCACCGATTAGTGTCTTCACTCAAGGAAATTACGATTCAAAAGTTGTCTGTGTGACTATTATCTCTTTATCCAAAGCCAGGGCCTCCATCTATCTTGAGCATTGTTTTACTGTTTTATCCAGGAGTTGCACCTGAGATCATAAAGTGGTTGAAGTTTATGAAATTTTTCTTGATAGGCGTTGAATGTAATTTTTGGTATGTATCCTTAATCATGTGCTTTGTACAACTATTGAAAATGTAATTAAGATGTAAATATATAACTTTTTATTCATTCCATCAACCCTCTGTTTTTTCTTTTATTTGTTTTTTCACACTTCATTGGGCTACACAGCGGGGGTAACCTCCCCCACACCCATAACCCTACAACTCTGATGGCAGGGAGATTTGAACGTTAGTCTCTTCTACAACCACCCAGAGAAATCGCCTACTGAGCCTCCATCGGTCCATAATCATGCACCTGAAAACTAAGGAGTGTATACAAAAATGCATGGAGTTTTGAACTGTTATTTTTTGAACCGCTTTTTTTCTCCCCTGGGACTGCTTTAGTTTAGACTTTAGACTAGGTAGGCACACTCATGGTTAAAACTTCAAAGTATCTATACACCTGTTTATTGGCAGAGGTGTATTGGTACTAAGTGATGTATTTTACGAAGATTTAATATGATACATGCGTCATTTTTTTATGGCTAAAATCATATTTCATTTAATTATTAAACTTGTATGAATATTAAAGCACAGAAACATTTATGACAACAAAGAAGTACGAAATTGGACACATTGAGTAGTGAGTATGCAGTTATGCGTTCAGTGAAATTTGACACCTACCCACAAATACTCAGCCTATCCTCGTTGAAATGATTCAATGTGAATTTCCGAGACAGTTGCCCAAATATTTATTGAATGCTTGCTACTATGTCCTCACAAGGATGTGCTTGTGCCTAGCAGATCCGGTCTTCGGTTCCAATGATCATGAATTCATAGATCAATATTTAAATTACATAATGATTTTTTTTTTAAGTTCTAAGATGATTATTATTGATTTTTAAAGTGGATTATTTGTCACTTCTTGCATAACCCTCTGCACATGGTGACAAAGACTTGAGAAAGCAGACAACTGTGGGGCATATGCCTCCAACAGGATAACCGAATTGGGATCTTCTACAAACAGGGCACATCTGCTTTCACCGACCTAATTGGCTTTAAAGACAGGCCCAATTGTAAGGGCCATCCCCTACCATGGCAATACAAGAGATTATAAGGGGATGTTAAAAGCCCATTGCTGGAAAGGTATGATACCTGAAGGGCTTTGATCAATCAAAACCTTATTGTGAATTTTGATAAATGCCGCCTGATTGGTTGCCAATTCTATGATGCTGGTTGATTTGTTACAAGTTTTTCCAGTAGGATGTGGTATCATACTCGAACCCAATTTTTGCCATGCCAACTAGGCACAATGATAGAAGAATTGAAAAAAAAATCTAAATCCATAAAAATCATAAAATTTATGAAAAAGAAAAGCCAAAAGTAGGCCCATGTGGGGCCCACATACAGGACTCTTTTTCCAATTATATTTCCTTCCTGCAAATCAGGCAACTACAGGGGGTGTATTGAAATTTCAATACATTT